CCGTTTAACCTCTTTCCATGCGATTTTTTTCGCGATTAACACTAAAGCTACCGAGCAGTTGAATTAACTTTTTGAAATTTCTCTATAGCATCTATCGAGATTTTCATTGAATTATAATTCAGTTTGCGTACTACTAAATCCATTCCTTGAATAACTACTCAGAGAAATATCTGTAATCTTTTTAATGATTGCAACAAGAAGAAATCAGGAATGGGTCATTTTGCACCGCCTGTTGGTTTAGTATCAAGCTCATCAATTAATTTTGTTATTACTGATCTGCAAAAAATACAAAGAAATGTTTCATTTATTACAAGCACACGTTAACTTCGAAGGTGAAATGTTTAAAATAGCGAAATAGTGTTTCACTTTGTTCCACGAGCAATGAGGAAAACTGATTTTTGTTCTATTGATCCAGAAATCTGCATCACGAGTATCATTCGTTATTATAGGGCAAAAGATTAACAATATTTCGGACACTGTCTCGTTCGCTAAATATCTCCCGATCATTGTACGATTAAAATGTTACTAATCAGTTACCTGTTCTTCGATTATCATCTTAAAATCAAAATGATACTAATTTTTTCAGTGGTCAATTATCTATCTTAGTAGAGAAACGCCTAATTCTTCTTCGTTTCACTTCAGTTTTTCGTTACAATATATTATAAGCGGATTTGCTCTGCGTTCGACGAGTGTGCACTCCGTTCTCCAATTTTATTGCGTGCGCAATGAGAGATTCTTGAAGCTGAATTCCGCAGTTAACGGGTTAATGATTTACTGGATAATATCCGGGCGCGGTGAAAATAACAACGGTCCTAATAATCGATGAACGCGGTTCGACGCGGAAGCCAGGCAGCCACCCGCTTTCTCGGAATGATCAACTCGCCGTCTAATGGCGATCGTTAATGTCTTCATTCGACGTTTCGCGGAAACAGAAGGAGGACAGGGAAAAAAGAGGATAGGAAGGGAAAAAATCGGTTTCCCTCCAATTAGTTGCAAGTTTCTCCGTATAGAAATTGGGAACGTAATCCGACGTGGCAACGCGATCGTTGGAGGACTGGCTGACCAGTGAACAGCCATGAATCGGAGGAAATGCCGCGCGCTAGAGCAAAACTAAGCGAGAAAGACGGAAACAGGTGGTACCTACACGGGGATTACGTCGACCGAGTACGTGACCGAATGATCTATGGGAGGGAATATTTCGCGGTTTCCAGGGGATAGATCGAATCGACATCTACTCGATATCGTTACTGCGAGAATGCACGGCTCCGAGAAACGGAATCCCGGTCGATGTCGAAAGCTCCGTTCGCTGTGATATCGTTAATTGACACGCTGACGAAGCTTTCGCCGAACTTCCGCTCGTCGAAATGTTTCGTCTTTCTTCTGTATTATTGTTTTACTCGTTGACGAAGTGAAAGGATTTAGCGAAGCATTAGGTTGTCTCATAAGTTTCTTCCTACGAAAGAAATGCTCGTGATATTTAGCTTCGAAGACACTTTAGAGAGACGCGTTATAAACTGACTTTTGTGCGTTTTCTGGAAAATTTGAAAATGCAAAGTTGGACGAAACGATATGAAAACTCATATGTAATGAGTATAAAGTATAGTAAAAGTGTAAGTGCATATAAAATATCCAAAATGTAGTGTTTTCTGTAACGTTCTTTGGGAACCATCTTCTATCGCAATTGTGCTTCTAATTACGTTCTTATACATTTAAATCCGCACACAGATCTGCAGTGTAATTATAAATGTTATAAATATAAGCTTTATATACTTTATAAATCTTCCAGAAAAATGGAGCAAGCTAGTGGCCTAGAACGGATTCTACGTGATTCAATAACGCGAGATAAAATGTAGAATACCGTGCATCTATTATGCATTAATAAAACGAAAGAAACTTTTGGGGCGACGTAATGTAATGGATACGCATTAATGATATATATAGTCAAGGGAAATCAAGGGATCGTTACTGTCCAATCGAACCGATTCGATCGCTCGTTTTCGTTTCTGCTCCCGCATCGGGCTACGATCGAGTTGCACGCCGGCCGATGCGATTAATCCGCGAGCCATTTACTTGCGTAACGAGAGTTCCTCCTTCGATCCGCTGGGAGATATTAATTGCAACATTATGCCGCGACTCTGGAAACGGTCGTGTGTGAGTTAATCGATTTTATCGTCCAAGGCGTATCTATATAAATTGACGTTAATGGCGGGTGGGTTTCTTACCCGGAAGAGACGCTGAGAACAACTTTTGACGCGAAAGACTGGTGGAATTCCTTTTAAGAAATCGAAGAAGCTGGTAACGAGAATCGATATTTTTTGATTACTTTTCTAGATTTACTTAGAGCCTAGATTTCAAAGATATTTAAATTTATTTTACAGTGTATATTCGTTAAATTATCTATTAAAAGATATTTCTTTGTTATGTTATGTAGGTTGTCGCCAGCAAACACGTTAAGGGAGAATCTGGTCCAGATTTTGGAACGTCAGTATAAACTTAGGCGTCTATAGAAGCTCGTAAATATGTTAGCTATGTTGATCGATTAAACTGACGCTCAACCTCGCGAACTATATAACTTAGTAACAGTTCCTCCGAGTTTATGGCCTCACTTTATCTAGGGTGTCCTGTAAGCGGTGTTACCAACGGTGATTTTTTACAGGGAAAGTTAATTTCTCCCTGGCAACACATTATAGGAACCATTACCTCACAACTCTCTTTCACCCTAAGAAAAGAGTGTACAATATCAATCCTTAAAAACTCCTATCAAAAGAAATCAAACCACCCATAATTATTAGTAATTCAATTATTAATAATTCGATAATCCAGATAATACCTCACAAAACTACTCTCACCAATCGCCACGTCTTCTAATAAATTACATTCGAGCAAAAACGAAATCACGTATAATTTCACCATAAACGCTCCCCAAGTATTAATCTTGGTAATCCTTAAACGGGCTCGCGGCCAATTTACCATTGAAAAGCCAAAGTAAACCGAATTACGCGACGCCAGCAAGAAATACTGAAAATCTGGGTTCCACGATTGAATTTACCCGGATCCTCGGAAAGGCGTGCAAGAACTCGATCGCAGATTAGGGCGCAAAAAAAAGGGGAGGCGCACTGGTTTCGCTTAGATTTCGCGTGTAAAGCGATCAAGCCACGATCCGGCGTGTAGCTAGTAGCAGGAGGGAGTGTAACGGGCTGGTTTATGGACGCGGACTTTGCTTTTCTCGCGCGTATCCATTTACGACGGATTACGAATGGAACCGTTACACACTCGCCACGCGTGCGCGCCTCCTCTCGCTTTCGTTTTCGCCCGACTCGGCCCTCTCGTTCGCCGGAGATCGGAGAATCAGAGAAAAGTGGGAACCATTCCAATAACGGTCCGAGCGGAAGACTGCCAAAACGTCCGATGGCCCGGCGCGCGGCCTACTTTTTGTTCCCCGATCATTTCCTTAACTACCGCGCGCGTCGTTTGGGTAGCCGCAAGCTTGTCCGGTGGTTTATTGAATCGGAGTTTCACGGCTCCATTCGCGTTAAACGGCCGATTCCGAGAGCACTGCTTGGAACGTGCCGAAATTGGAACATATGGACGCTATTTCATCTACGATGGGACTCTTGGGACGTTAGTAACGTTTTCTGATGCTCGGTGAAATATTTAAATTTCGACAGCATTAACATTCTCGCGAGTAGGGTAGCCTTGTGCTCCCTAAATTGACTCGAGCACAGCCTGACAAAGGTATAGTGCAGCTCCGACGAGTTGGCGGACTACCAACAAGCTGAAAAATTGGAGGGGCAGGGGGACTCTTCCACTTACGACGTTTAGGCTGTCTCAGTCTTGGACGCGTGCTCGTTATTGGCCGCACGTAGTAGTAAAAGACAGACGCGAGATTGAGTGCGACGGAGTGAGATGTAACGATAGAGATCACAGTTCACAGTACCACCAACTTCGTCCTCTATCTTTACATCTCACTCTGTCACATTCAATCTCGCTTCTGTCCTTCGTTACTGCCATGTGGTCAATAACAATTGTGCGTCGAAGACTGAGCCAGCCTGAGCATCGCGAGTGGAAGAATCCCCCTGCTCCTCTGACTTTTCAGCTTATGGATAGTCTGCTAACTCCTTGAAGCTGCACCATAGAGAATCGATGTAGTGAGCGGGAGTGGAATAGACAGTTCGTCCAGCATCAAGGGTTGAGAGGCGGAACTTCAAAGTGATTCTGCTCCCGCCAAATGTAAATATGCAATGAAGAAAATTTTAATTGCAGTCATTTAAACACTTATCTTTTTAAATGTAGTGGCGATGCGTTATTGAAATTTGTCTGAGTAAAATGAGTCCGAACACGACGCAGATCGGACTGGTTTTAGCCACTTTATTTAATTAACGAAATTGAAGGTTCATTTCTCCTAAATCGATCAAACTAGACCGATCTGCGTCGTGTTGGGACTCATTTTAATCAGGAGAAACCAAATAAACCAATGGCACTACAGTTGAGGAGGTAAGTCGAAAATTATTGAGACTGCAATTTTTATCACTGCAGTACCTGTTCACTGGGATCACGCTACACTGAGCTCGAGGCAGAAAGTAGTAGATGTAGTTCATTAAAATATAACCGAGCAGATTCCTTTAAAATTTAACCGAACATCACTATACTTACTGTTAGCGGTGGTTGTTCCACATTTGCAATTTTTCTTTTGAGAAGAATCCGTCGTTAATAATTCTATAGCAAAAGAGGACATTACATATTATTAGGTTAAATTCATTGCGAAACTTGAGTACCTTCAACAGCTTTTTTTCTTTGGTTAATATTAAATTCAATGCCTTTTAGCAAGAATATTGTATTTTATGACGTTACCTTCACTAATTGGCCAACCAAAAATCTCTTTCGCAATTTTTTTCGAAAGGAGAATTTCAGGCTCTCGAGTGACAAAATTGATTTAATTAAGAAGACAATTCCCGGTTCTCCCGTGGCCTGACCCCTAAAGACAGAATTTATTTTTCTAGACGGAGCCGAGGACGAAGACCGTGAGCAGGTGCTGCGAAGGCTACCAAAGGATACCATCCGGCGGCGAGGAGAACGGCATCAAGTGCATGCCGCTTTGCGAAAAGTGTTTCGTCGGTGTTTGCGTCTCCCCGAACAAGTGCCAGTGCAGTCCCGGCTTTATCGGAGAGGTCTGCGCTACCAGTGAGTTTGTAATGCAAAAAATAATCTTGCTCCATAATTTCCAATACTACTAAACGCTTTTGATCACAGTCTCATCATCAATATAAAAAGCTTTATATCGAATACAATAGACATAATTATCATTCAATTATAAATACTTAATCTTTACAGTAAATGTGCTTCTACAGCGAACACATATATTCCTTCCGGCTAAGTAATTATTGAGATAATTCCGGTGAAATTCATTAGGAACACATTATGAGGTAACAAATTCGATAAACATAGTTATCATTCAATTATAGACACTTAATCTGTACAGTAAATGTACTTCTGCAGTAACTACATATATTCTCTTCTACTAGGTAATTACTGAGAAAATTCCGGTGAAATTAATTAGGAACACATTATGAGGTAACAGGTTGAAAGTATTCGCTTGTACCGTTTTCACGGACCAGTGACTAGGTATCGATGTTCTTTTCTAAACAGATTAACGAGATAACGATTACCGATCGGTTTTGTTTCCGGTTAGGCGAGAAGCTTCACGGATCTTGAAATGTGCAGGGCACGGAACGCCACGCCGGGTCGGATATATTTCACGCTTGACGAAACAGGCCGACCTTCCACGATCGCGAGAACACGCGCGGCCGGTGAATAATTTTCACGCGAGCGGTGCATAGCGATTCTGAAATCGGTGATTCCGACGTTTCCCCTGATAGATAGGAACGAAACCGAACCGGACCTCCACGCGGAAGCTTCGCGATTTACTTGTAAATGGTTGTAAATCAAGCTTCGGGGAAAGGTTCACAAACCATCCAGACTTTCCAAACAACTTTCGAAACTCTGGTATTGAAATAGTAGCTCGTTGCAGCAATTATGGTTACTCTTCTTCGTTAAATGTTTACCTGTTTGGTTGTCAAATATGTAGCTTCATGAAAAGATTACTAGTAACCAGTTCCTCTTTGTTTCTATTTCGCTTTTCGATTCATGACTAATTCGCTTGTGAACAGTTTCAGCAAATAGTTCCGTGTGACCAATTACTGCATGTTATATTTAATAAACCAACAAACATGAGATTCTAAAGATTCTTTTTAGAACGGTTAATATAATTTACAAACATATGCCTTTTAAATGAAACAAAATTATAGAACAAAAGTACGATTATTCTTAATTAAATATTCACCAGTTAGAATATTAAGTATATAATACCAACAAAAAAGTTACCAGGAACCAATTTCTCTTGATTTCCATTTAATTTTTCAATTCACAATTAATTTATCTGTTATCACTTTTAAATCAACCACGCAAGATTACCTTTAATAAATTTCAAAACACAAGATTCAGAAAATCATTTCTAGAAAGATCGATACAATTTACAAGCATGTACCTTGTTAGAAGAAACAAAATTTTGCACAAAGTTCTCAAGACAAAGAATGATTATCCAACAAAGCAACGACCCTCTCCTTCATTTCCAGTGTGTCAGGCGGGTACGTGGGGCCCGCAATGCAAAGAGAAATGTGACTGCGGGGAGGGCATAGCCTGCGATCCCACAAATGGCCACTGTCCGTGCCCGCGAGGATTACGTGGACTAAGGTAAGATTGCATCTCTTAATGTATAGATTTCTCCGTGGCGCGGAAATCGGACGAAATGCCGGCTATATTGCCCAACAATGGCAACGAACGCGGCCGAGCAATTCCGTCGCGGCAATTATCCGGCCCGTTAATGAGAAACAGATTCATAAACTCGCGGGCCGACTGTCACGGGAACCTTATGCAACCGGAGGGATCCGGAGAGGCTATTAATAGAAAAGGAGAAAAACACGCTTCCTGTCCCTGTTACCTGGACAAGTCTCCGCGACTTCCGCCCGGCAAGCTAGCCATTCGATTACGTAAACTCGCGGTGTCGATCGTCCTGTCGATCGAGCCGGAATCGGCACGCCTAACACTATATAGCCCTTGGGTGCTACAATCGGTCAAGATTTTTCTTTATATTCGATTTCCTTCGTGAATGACTTACAATCTTAAACCGTGTATCTTTCCATTACAGTATTCTCGCGATTAGTACCCGAAAATCGAGAGTACAACCGGGCACTAATCGTGATGTAAGTGAACCCTTTGCGGACGGATGTCAATATTTTGCCGAGATCAAACTTTCATACACGAAATACTGAGTTGTAAACAAATTACTTAATTATTCAAATATCTGGGAATCCGTATGTATATAGTTTCTTTTTTCTCTATTATTTAAGTATCTGATATGTAATCTGGCTTCATCTTCTGAAGGTTTTGTATACTTTAATGAGTCTTCGTCTGCAAAGGGTTAAAGGATGGTGCGAATAAAAGAACAAGAGATCGAAAGTTCGTAACGATCAACAGAAACAAATAAGTGAGAGGATATTAATGGAATGTTAAACTTTTCTATTTTCCACTTTTACTAATTGAAACTTTTACCAATTGAATTGTAAGGTTTCTCTGGTTAAAACGAGACCAGACACGATATATTTTGGAACATGTTTACTTATTTAATAAATTGCAGTAATCTATTTTCTTCTAGTAAATTTGTACTTAAAGTGTATCATGTTCGGTGTTGTTTTGATTAGAAGAATCCCACAAATGCGTCAGTAAAGATTTGGTTTACAAAAATACCTTTGCAAAAAGTTTCACAATTGCATTAATATTGTCTCATCGATATCTACCACCACTGAACAACGTATCATATTACAACTCCTCGACCGTCGAACTCAGTGGTGGGGATGAGTAATGAGCACTAATCCTGCAGATCGGATTGGGTACCAATCGCGAGAATATAGTACATTGTAATGTTCGATCATTGATATTATTGATAATTTATGTCTTTACGTTTCAGCATTGGTTTGCCAGCGGTCTGGCAGACTGACTGTAGCACTTAAGAGTTAGAGATGCTCTATACAAGTCTCGGATCCCAAAAATTAACCTGACACACAAGTATACTATTTCGAGATAGAAATTCACCTTGAATCTCAAGATTCGGGACATAATGTAAGAATTCGCCTTAAATTTCTAAGCTTAAAAGATTTATCATACATTAACCTTCAATCGAAGCTAAGAATTCATGAGGAGAATTCACTTGAAAGTGTCTTCGTCATTTCGGAACTTTCTTTAATCTCAGAAATGTAGAATATTTCAAGAATCCCAAGATACATAGTACTTTCTCAGATAAACGATGCGAACAACTAATTTCCCGATTATCTTCTTAACACAAATTGCAAAGATTATTGTTGGTAAAGCAAAAATTCGACGTTCAATGTGTTAAGGTACCCGCACAACCCTATCGATACGTATTCCGATCATCGAATTTCGATAAATGACTTTCATAATCTATCTTCTCATTGCAGCTGCAACGAGACCTGTCCGGTAGGCCGTTGGGGGCCGAAATGCCTGTTTCCGTGCCTCTGCGACAACGCAGATAACAGGTGTGAGCCGGAAACCGGCCGATGCGCCAAGATCACGTCGGGGAACGTTTACGAAACGTTTACGACGGACGAGTCAGCGAACGCCACGTCCATCGAAGACGAAGGACGTTCGACGGCTCCAGAAACGACAGAAACCCCAACGGAAGGTAATTAAAATGTCGGGTTCGTTGGGAATGGAATATTTATTCGCGTGATGCAACTGTTGTTCGAAAGTCGCGCGCTCCTAAATACATAAAACATACGGCACCGCTCGTAATTTTACTAGCGGCTTCGAGGAAAAAATGAAATGGCGTACGATAAACTCGACGATTTTACGGACGATTTCGAACGGCCATTAACGTCTCGATAATGAGGCTTCTAATAAGGTTACGTTCGACACTGATTTTCGTAAACGTTCGCAACATATTCTATTATAAGCCACATCTTAACGTTAAGGATTAGAATAATTTTCATTTGAATGTCGTTTATTGATATTAACCACTCTTCGGTCAGTTTATAACGTTGAGTAATTTATTGGAAGCTGTTCGAATTCGTGAAATGAGATCGTGTAATGTTTATTTTAACTGAACGTTAGTGTGGTCAAATGTTTCTGCGATGATAGACGAATTCGT